TATATCAAACCTTGTTGTAGGAAACAAATGAATGAAGAAATTTTTCCAGATCAAGTAGCAGCTCTAACTCTCTTGTAGAATACAACTTTTTCCTAAAGTCAGGCTGACTAAGGATAGATTAATATTCAATGCTAGCAGTTCCACAAAGTTATTTCCCTAGCATTTCTGGTTTGACATCATAACTGAATACATTATTTTGGGGAGAGTAAAATATTATCATCAACTCTTAATTTTGTTCAGTAGACAAGTCTTTCTGTCCCTCTTGGGAAAAGTTCTGGAAAATGGTTAGTTTAAGAGAACTGTTAAAATCAATCAGCAAATATTTGATTTTCTAATATATGTAAGATGCTGTGCTAGGTTCTCCTTAAGGTTCAGTCATTAACTCTTCTCCTTTTCTTTCTATATATGACCCTTCTCAATAACCTTGTTTCCCAGAGGATCTATTCAGGTAGTTCCCAACTCTGCCAACTTCTAATACTAATCTCCTAATTTCCAGGATGGTATTTCCAAATTCTACCATATATCATAATAATACCAAAAAGCTCAGTATGTCAAGAAAACAATGTTGCTTTCCTATCATAGAGTTAGCCTTTTACTACTTATGAGAAGATTTAGAGAGGTAAAGGCTAAGGGGGTCAGGGAGAACATTTAAATAGTCTATTTTTAGTAACCTAAGTACATAAAATTTGAGCTTGAATATTTAGCATGGAAAGTAAAAAACAATTCTAAGAAATTCTCCAGATCAAGCTATTATTTGAATATTAATCCAAGATTTGGAGGGCCAGGGATTTAGCTCAGTGACAACGTGCCTGCCTTGTAAGCTCAAGGTCCTGAGTTTGATCCCCGGTACAAAAAAATAATAATAATAGAGTCTTAATAAGGAGAAGCTAGTTGTGTCATCCATAGTAGTGAAATGCACAACTTGGCACCTGAGAAAATGTTCAATAATAAATGGTAATAAAATATTTTAGTTACGAATGAGCAGTGTTTTCCATTTGTGGAGCTAATACTCTTTACCTTCTCACAATGCTAGAAGCAGAGACTTGAAAAATGGAATATTCTCATGTCAGTTATTTGGCCCCTGTCCATTTATCAAAGCAAGTCTGCTTTATAGGTATTTTCCCTACAATGCTGATGAGGAACCTCAAGTCCAGAAAATTAAACAGTCCAGAAATTAGTCAGATCATGTGAACATTTCTAAATTCAGTTATGTTTAATTGAAGTTATTACCAAGCTGCACCCAAACTGCCCCCACTGTCTTCTCTGATTATAGTGTACTGGAATAAAACAGGGAAAGTAAATTCATCTACCTTCATTCCCTGAAACAAAACAAGCAGCCAAATAATAAACATACCAAATCAGCACCTCCTTCTGCCTTCAGTAATGCCAACATTGTTCTACCTCACAACAAACTTGAAACCTAGGAGCCATCTTTGATTTTCTTCTCTTTTAAATGATCAATTGCTAGGTCCCATTGATTCTTCCTTAATTCTGTCTCTTGTATCCATCCCTTTGTCTCTCTCTGCTATCGGGATTCTACTACTACCTGTTTCTCAGGTTCTTTTGAAACCTTATTCATAGTCTCTCTGCCCCTGATTTCTCCCTCCACCAATCATAGTTACTGCTTCTAATAAGACAGCACAATATAGGGGTTAAGAGTCTGGACTCTGTAGCCCAAATATGTGAGTCCAAATCTCTAAATCCCAGAGATACAACCTCACCTTTCCTCATTTTTAAAACAAAGATAATAACCTCCTAGGATTATTTTGAGAATCAAAGCAATCAATACATATGATTTATGTAGGAAAAATGCCTGATACAAAGTACTCAATAAATGTTAATTCCTATTATTATTGTGTATTCTTATTAAAGTATGCTTTGGTCTAGCTATTACAAACTGCACCGGCATGAACATGGGTGCACACATATTACTGTGGTAATAGCTAGAGCTTGGAGGCAGCCCAGGTGCCCATCAACTGGAAACTGGATAAAGAAAATGTGGTTTTTTAATAAAATGGAGTACTACTCAGCCATGAAAAATGAAAAACTAGAGTCATTTATAGCTAAATGGATGCATATCGAGGCCATACTCTTGGGTGAAATAGATAGTATGCACATGTGTAGATACCGAATAGTTTCACTAGTGTGAGAAACTGATAGTGTAAACAAGGGTTAAAATGATTAAAATGAATAATCGATAATTTGAAATAGGAAAAAAGGTCCAAAGACGAAGGAGTGAAGGGAGAGGAAGGGGAAAGGAAAAGAGGGAAAGGAAAAAAGAAAAATAAATGGAAATGAAATCTATATAAATGGTTGGGGGTGGAGGGGGTGAAAGGCGCACAGGTAATGGGGAGAAAAATAAGAACCAAGATATATCATGTACAGGTACAAACACCCAATGATAAATGTAAATGAATTGTATACCTGAAATGTACCAATAAAATGTACCAATAAAATTAATTTAAAAATAAATAAAAATTAAAAATAAAAAGCCACTTGCTGTAACACTAGCTCATTTACAAGGTGACCCTGAGGCAACAGTTGTAATGGCAAAGAAATGTGCAATCATGCCCAAGTGCAGCTGGTTAACTCTGATTTCTGTAATTAAATCATCACTGATGGTAGGGATGCACAGGAGAGTAGGAAAATAAATTTAATTCTACCTAATAAAGGATCCCTACAACTAAAAAAAATAAAAAGTGTGCTTTGGTCACAATACTTCATTTGGAGCTAATATTAAAAATAAAAAAGGCCAGGGGCCAGGGATTTAGCTCAGTAGTACCGTACCTTCCTGGCAAGTGCAAGGTCCTGAGTTCGATTCCTGGTATAAAAAAATAAATAAAATATAAAAGGCCAAATCCATATTCTCTGCTTATAGGCCATGAGTTGAAATACAAACCCCAGACCGATAAAAGTTTGAATGAAGACAAGTGGTATTAGAATTAAAGCTCATGTGTACTTACCGAAGTTCTTTATCTGGAGCCAATGATACCCTGTTGACTGTGCCCCTATAAAACCTACCAAGCTTGGCCAGGATAGCATGTAATGGTGACTAGCAGCTGGTCACTTGATGGAAGTAGTCCTATGACTTTTTACCCATGAAGAAGACTCATAAATTAATTCTTAAACATAAAATATTATAGAAAACATGTTTTTGTGCTGAGATTTCCAGTTACTGGTAATAAAGGAAAAATCAAGTAGGATGGAATTTGGAGACAGTGATAGAGACAGATATGAAGGTGGAAAAATTGGTATAGATACTCATAAAGATGCTTACACAATCATACACAAATGGACACGCACATTCATGGAGATATAGACTTTGATGTGATTAGCTTCCCATCTATGGACTTTTAGATACTCTAGCCCGTATTTTGTTCCTGAACATAAATATGATATATACCTTGAGGGACACACACACACACACACACACACACACACACACACATATATATATTATATGGTCATTTCCATTTATATCACCTCTACTGTGAAGCCTTTCATTAAAAATTATAGTTATAAGAGTTAAAGTTTTTTTCTTCTTCAAAAGAACATGTCCAGAATTTGATTTATTTACCTATCTAGAAGCATGTGCTAGTTTTATCACCAGCTACAGTTCACAAGTGTCTGTGTTATGAGTTTCAGGTTTTATTATAAGCTTTTTAAAAATAGGTGGTGTGTGTTTTCTACTTGCCATGTGAGTTCTGAAAAAAGAATAGGACAATAATTGTGTACTTATATCCTCTCCATTTAAAAAAGCTACTCATAATTATGAGACCTACATAAATATAGTAACATACTTTTTATATATCTGCCTAAAAAAAGCAAGAAAGCATATAAAAGAATTAATAGAAGGCACAAGTTCACATCTGGAGAGGCAAATGTCCATGGCTAATGGGAAAGTTAATTTCAAAGAAGAAAACAATATAGTATGACTTGCTTCTATATTACAGCAGATGTAGTCTAAGCAACAGCTGATTCATTGCTTTTGAAGGGTATGTTTTGGCTTAAAGACTTTTGAATATATTGTCAAATTATTTTCATGTTATTTGTGGTTATCTCAGTGCCTAATCCGTGTTCAGCATTTTTATTTTAGAAAGGAAGCTATACAATGCCAAAAAAGGATATAATTGGGATAATTTCTTTTCATTGTATATGTACATAAATAAGTTCATGTGTATTTACTCCCTCCAAGAATTCATTTGAAAAATGAAAACTAGTTAAATAATTTGGAGCTATAGAAAATTAAAATTAAAAACTAATTATTGTAAGCACCAGACCAAAGGGAATATAGAATGTGTACCAGTACTGTAAAACAAGTAATTAGAACCAAAGTTGAACTGTTTTGAAGAAAACCAACGTATAATTTCTGAAAAATGTACTTGAAAGTAAATTCATGTGATTTTTACCATTACATAATTATTTAACATCAACATCTATCAAGTAGGTGAAATTCATTAGAATATATATAAATATTTAATATATTTTATGAATAGAAAGCATCAGTTTAAAAATTATTGAATGCTCAATCAGTGCTAGTCCTCTAATTTCAAACAACATAACAATAGATACTTTGTAAGGAAATATTCCATTTATTTTTTCTGTCATCATGTACATCTTTTATCTGTGTCTCAACAATTCACTCAACTGAATTTCATATTTATAAATTTCCCTAATTCACCTCAGGGACAGATTTTGGCGGTTTGAATGTTATTGATGGCTAATGATTATGAAATTAACATTTAACAGTAGTTCAGCTTCAATAATATTTTATTAATGCTGTAAGGGTGATTTAATTTATTTTTATGAAAATGAATACCTAACAGTTTTTCAAACTTCACTAAAATATTCCTTTGAAGTATTTAAAACAAAGTAATATTTTTAGAAACCTAGAATTTTTGTTGCATAGAAATTTTACAATATTGTCTATGAAATTATTCCCACTAAAGAGGTAAAATGCCTTAAATGTATGTTTACATAGAACATTCCTTCTCTTACAGATGAGCTCAGTGAAAATGTTACGGCCTCGTCTCAATAGCATTCTTTTCAAGCTCACATTTGAAGAACACGTAAACAACATCAAGCCAACCATCATAGCAGTAACTCTAGCTTGTGAAGAACTGAAGAAAAGTGAAAGCTTTAACAGACTTTTAGAGTTAATTCTTTTGGTTGGAAACTACATGAACTCAGGCTCAAGAAATGCCCAGTCTTTGGGTTTTAAGATCAACTTCCTTTGTAAGGTAAGATCACATTTTATATTCCTAATTCAGAACAACAGTGTTGTCTGTGGGACAGGCTAATCTAAATTCAAATAGTACATGAATCAAAAATTAAGTGTGAATTTTATGACTAGCAACTTATATTTCATTTAAAGTAAGTCATGAAAAAAAATCTCATTGCGGTAAAAGTCTCAATACTATGCAGATTCTTTTGTAGCATGGTACTTAGCTCTTGCAGGTTAAATCTTACCAGCCTTTATAGTCCAATTTTTTTTTTTCTTTCGTAAAATGGTTGCAAAATTGTTTTTCAATCCCTTTATACTTATTTTATGTTTCTCCAAAGAAGTATTTATCTGAGGAGATATATTTAATAAGGAAAATAACCAGAAATTTATTTTTGAATATGCTTTGCTTATTATACTCTATGAAAATAATACTCTTCATTATTGAATATTGTTGTATCACTAAGCTTATACTGATTATTGAGTATATTAAGAAGGGAACAAAATCAAATGATAATTATTTTATTATTTTGATTGGGCCATTTCACGTTATTATTTTTTGAGACTCAATTCTTCTGGAAAATAAACAAAGAAACAGAGAAGCCCAAATGTGATTGTATGTGTCCATTCTTGGCAAAGGAGAAACTGCCTTAAAAAAAAGATCTGTTTGTTACAGGGGAAAGCTGAACAGATTCTGAGGTGAAGGCCTGTAAGGAAGCTAGATATAAAAACAAATCTGAAAACAAGCAGTCTGTCTTTGACATCTCACCATTCATTCAGTTTTTTTTCTTTCGCATCTGAAAACATTGCAGGACTTTGATTAATTCTTGAAGTATATTATAATAGGGATTGTAAATCTAGGAATGGACATGAATATATTTTCTGTTCATTCATTAAATAGATGTGCATTATATGTCAGTGGACTAGCATCTTAATATGTATCAATGATTTGATCATTATAATTTAACATAAATAGACAAAAATAATACTTATTAATAATAAGATACATTATAATAAAATTGAGGATTTCTATTTATTCTTGACAGATTTGGGGAGATTGTTATGAAGATAGCAAAGAAAATAGAGAAAGTTACTTGAAAATATCAGGTTTTCTCAAGAAAACATTTGTATTTCTTATAAAATGTTGGAACATGTGAAATTATTTGATAATATAAGGGAGAATAAGGCAATGCTTGTAATAAATTAGAATCAATCATAGCCAGATTTATAGGATAAAATAACTAAAAAATCATTTGAAATTTATATTAGATATAAGTTTCACATTTAATTCATATAAAAAGATTTTAAACAAACCTAATTTGAGCAATTTCCCCCTTTATTTTTAAGTGTCTTAATTTCACCTTATTCAAATTTATTATATGAACTGATTTCTTTGAAGCAAAAATGAATAAGCCATGTATGTAGAGAAACAAAAGATTACATTGATCTCACAGAAGGATTTGGCAGTTACATCTTATATTTTGGAGAAAGGTTTCTTCCTGTCATCTACCTGTCAAATAAAAGTTTTTCCATACAACACTGATCTGACATCTATCACTAGAGGTATGCTCAAAGGATTCAGCACAAAAATTTTTGCCAACTTCAAATGAAATAAAAAATAATCTTGTGGGAAATACTGTCATGTAGTAATAATTGTTCTAAAAGACAAAGAAGAAAAGGTTTTTAAATTCCCCCTTCCACTTAGAATTTTACCCTTTGGGAAATACTTACAGGGAAACTCTTGTCATTAATAAAAAGAAATATCATATACATGTATGATATTCCCTTAATGTCTAGGATTAAAAGGATATTCCTGGAATACAAAGGATTCTGAGTAATGTAAATATCTAAACTGACAGAAATGTATTGAAGTACATAGAAATAGTTCAAATTTGTATAGTCAAAATAGAATTAACTAACTACTGGTATAAGATTAGCTGGAATCGCTGTTTAATTTCACTTATAAAGTAATGCTTGGTTGATTTTCCTTAGTGATTTTTTTCTTTAAAAAATAACAAGGGAATTACCCAAGTAGAATATTAATCATGCTTTCACAATGATACCATTTACTGACTTAAATTTTTCTAATGATAATTTCCTTTCAAAATGATTTTAAAAATATAATTGACTGCTTTTCAACACAGGTTATAGAATACTTAAAAATATTTACCTAATTAAAAAGGAGCCATGATATAAGCAGTTAAACTTATCAGATGTATCTTGTATTGGAGTAATACAAAAATTCAGATGATCTCCTTTGGCTGCTGCAATATTTGGAAAGAGAAACAAAACAGATAGGTTAACCAAAATGTCAAATAATACTAAAATGTGTCATTATTGGAAGTACTGTACTCACCACAAAATACTTTAATTTCAGCAGTGAAATATCACTTTGTGAGTCACCAAACCAGTGTGCTGAATTGTAATAAAAATCGTTTCAGTGAAGATGAGTTCCCGATGTTACCTTTGCCTGTAATTGCCTTTTAGTTATTAAAATTCTAATCCATAGCAATGCTACACTTCAGACACATTTATTTTTGTTTTCAGTATGTAATAGTATATATATAATCTGCATAAGAACAAAACATTTAAAAATACTGAACACTCCCTATATGCTTTATGGTTATATCAGATAAGAATTGATGTTTACATGCAACAGAAAGTGCAAAAAAGAAAAAAAAAAGGAATTTATTGGAAAAATCTGAGATAGCTCAGCCAGAAATGGGCAAAGCTGAAGAAGTTGGCCTTTAAAAGAACAGCAAATATGACAGTTTATAGAATCCAGGTCGTACAAATGAATAGCAAGTCTTTTAAAGATGTTGCCTTTTGGGGGTGGGGGCGGGGATTCAGCTCAGTGGTTCTGCTGCCTGCCTGGCAAGCACAAGGTTGGGAGTTCCATCCCCTGTACCAAAAAAAAAAAAAAAAAAAAATTCCCTTGGGATGTATCAGCTCCAATCACTTTCTTCTTCTCCTCCCTGCATTTGATTCAAATTCTAATTAGAGCAACAGATTAACCTATTGTAGATTACAAAAGCATTCATTGTCTAAGAGCAAAGAACATCCATTCACTTTGCTACCAAGAGTACTTACAATGGCAGATTGGTCTTGACATAAGTGAAGCTGTTACAGAGGATAATGCCAAAAATGAATGTTTATTAGGCAAGCAAAAAGAAAGACAAGAAAAAAGTAGTGGTCTACAAAACCAAGGGGATACAAACTGTATAAAAAAATACTCAGAAACCTCAGAAATCTCATTGTGTAGTTGAATAGCCAGGAAATCTACATATAGAAGATTATATGACATCACAGGTACAGTGGATAAATGCAAACAATTGATAGCCATTGAAATAAGTATTTCAGAGGAGGTTAGAATCATTGGTGCTTAGGAATGTATTTATAAGTATGAAACAGAAGGATTTTGAAGGATACTAGGATTAAGGTATATGAAGAGAAGAAGTTATAACTGTACAGAAGGGGAGAGTACTATGGGTTTAGAGTATTTTAATTTCCACCTGGTCAATTACCACCCAGATGTTAATAGCTAAGGCATTTATTTGCCTTCTCTGAGCCTCAGTTTCTTCATCTATAAATGAGAAAATACACTGAACCTTGTTTATTTACATATATTTCTTTTCTCGGTCAAATAAAATGATCTAGTGTACACATATGTTAGAATAAGTTGAAAAAAATATGATATTAGAGAAATGGTAATAGTTTTTAAGGATGATATACAGCTAGGAAATATCATAATGTGTGCAAGGATGAATTAGAAAATCACATTGCCTGGAATATTGGGTTCTTGTTGGGAATCAAGTAATGACATTGGCAGGCAAGTTGTAAGAAGATATTGAGCCTTTTGAACACTAATTTGGATATCTTGACTCTATAACTATTTTTGGAAGCCATTCACAGCCCATTTAATAATTTATAAAAGCTAAGAAACTGTTTTGGTATTCTGACCAGAAACTTTCCCCCCTGCCTTTAGATATTGTTGCCTTTGCCTGTATTATCACTTTCTAGTTAGTATACTTGGACAGAAAGACACAAGTTATGATATACTCTGATGATATGCTTAAATACAGATGTGAAATATATCATAGAAAGGCACTAAAGAAAACATGTGGGTTCACTATATAGAAAATTTTAGGTATCTTACAGTAAGTCATTAGGATTAACACAGTAGTGTAATTGTGCTACATTTATAACATGTATGGTAGAATGTCTACAACAAGGGACCGTCTATACAAATACAGTCACATATTAGTGACCTAGTATTTTAGGCATCACTCCCAAAATACAAAATAACACATCCATTCCCTCCCTAGAAGTTGTAAGAAAGGAAGTAACATAGATTTATTTAGCTTCATTGTGAAATGGAAGATTTTGTAATAAAAAATATGATTCATGAGGAAAAATGACTATTGTCTATGGCAATATAATTTTCAAATACATAATCCAAGACAAAATCTACAAAGACCCAAGACAAAAGACATATGTAAGTACTCCAAGAATTTCACAGTGCCTAATCACTTTTTACACAAAATGATATGGATTATGTCCATATTAACATAGAAGTCTAGTTTAGGAGGATATCTAGTGTAGCCTCTTGAGTCTATAGTAAGAAAACTGATGCTCAGAGAGACAAAGTATTTTGATTATCATATTGGTCAGCTTGGGCTGTCATAACAATACCAGAGGAATGAATTTATTTTATCACTATTTTAGAGCTTAGATTTCTAAGATAGTGATGATGATTAGTTTCTGGTGATTATTCTCTCCTTGGGTTGCAGATGACCATTTTCTCCTTGTGCCCTCACATGGAGGTTATAACACAATTTTATTTCTCTTTCCTCTTCACCAGACTCAGAATTCATAAAATTTGGATGAATATTTTATTTTGCATTATATCCCCAATGTCTATTTTACAGAGGCTGATCAAAAATACGTTTACATTTTTAAAAAATTACAGTAAAAGAGACACTGTCATTAATCCCTCTCTCCTCCAGTATACTTGTCACA